ATATCTTATATTATATTATTTATATATTTATATTCATATAATGATATAAGATAAAGGGGGAGGGGTTTATTTTCCTAAATCTCTAATTCACACTCACTCATGCTACCTGACTATTCGGCCGAGCCTTCTTCATTCGGCCTGAGAGGAGCCCGTCCACCAAGCCCTAATAGCTCCTCACTTCCCTTCCAGCTTCTTCTCCCTCGTTGACCTCTTGCTTTGCGCCCGACACTCTCTGCCCGATAATCTCCTTCGCGAGACCCTCGGCTACTTCTCTCTATCCTCTTTCCCAAGACTCCCCATCCTTTGGCGAACACTCCACATCTTTGAACCAAGGCTCCGGCTCACGACCCTCTCTCGATCTGGCCGCCGAAGTCTCCTTTTTACTTATCTGCGCCAGACCTAGCTATCCCCCTCTTCCGCTCCTCCCCTCCTCCCCTCCTCTGCTATAAAAACCCTTGTCGGGGGAGAGTTGAGAGATTACGAATTTTGAGAGCCTCGGGGAGACTCCGCGGAAATTGTTTCTCGGTTAGGTGCTTGTGAGCTTGAAGTTTGGGAGTGCAGCTTTCTTTTGCTGTTTACAAAGGCCCAATCAAGGTATGTTTTCTCTCTTCTGTTCTTCTTCTCTGCTCGACATAGGCTGGACATGGGTTTTTTGTTTCTAAAAAAAAAAAGGAGAGAATATATTATATACATATGCAGGGAGTTGTTTGCCTTAGCTGGTATCTCATGTTAAGCTTGCTATCAGTTGCTAGGCTTTTAGGGATCCTGTTGGGTCAGTTTTAAATGCTTCATGCTGTTTAGCTAAGGATGTTAGGCTTGCAAAAGACAAGGTTCAACTCTTACGTATGTACAAGTTTTCTTCTTGTGTTCTTATCACATCTTTACCTTGACATTGAGACATGAGTGTTGTTTTAGCCTTCTAGGCTGCGGTTTTCTTTACTGTGTTGGTTTGACATTGAGGCTTGAGGGCTGTTTTAACCTCATGGGCTGAGGTTTTCTTTGCTGTTTGGTTTAACATTGAGGCTTTTGGAAATTTTACTTTGGGGGCTTTGTTTTGTGCTTCTCTGTTGCCCCCTTTGTTCGAAGATTATTCAGGTAGCTCTCATTCAATTTTTGGGGCTTTTGGAGGTTTGGCTTTGGGGCTTTGTTTATTGTCTCTCAGTTGCCCCTTCTATTTAAATCACCTGAGGGTGTTTATATTTATGGTGGAATTGTTGATGCTTTGGCGTATTTTCTTCTCGGTTAATGGTTCTACTGGAGAACCTTGTTGGGCTTTTCTTGTGAGCATGGGCTGCTGTCCTGTTACCCCCCTTCCCCTGCTGCCCTTGATTGTGGGCATTTTTTTTGTTTTCTCCCTTGCCCGTGAGCATCCTAACTGGGTTTCTTGTGTCATGCTTGGCTGTTCCTTGCTGCCCCTACCCGAAACAAACAGTTTGAACAATCTTTGTGTTGGTTTTGGTTGTGCCTTTGCTGCCCCTACCTGAAATCTGCAGTTTGGGCATTCTTTGTGTTGATCTTGGTGGTTCCCTCGCCGCCCCTATCTAACATCTGCAGTTTGGGCATTCTTTGTGTTGATTTTGGTGGTTCCCTCGTTGCCTCTGCCTGAAATCTGCAGTTTGGGCATTCTTTGTGTTGATTTTAGTGATTTTCTTGCTGCCCCTATACGAAATCCATAGTTTGGGCTCTCTTGCTGTTGGTTGGTGGCTCCCCGGCTGCCCCCTAGCCGTGAGCATCTATTTGGTTCCCCTGCTGCACTTAGTCGTGGGCCCTTGTTATGACCGCTTGTCCTGGCTGCTCCTGCACGTGAGCATCTGGATGGTTTCCTTTTTTGTGTTAGTTGGGTGGCTTCTTTGCTGGCCCTACTCGAGAATAGTTGTATGGGTTCCTTGATGCTGTGTTGAGTTTCATACCTCATGGAAGCTTTAGTTTGGGGTGGAAATGAGGACCTGAAATATTTTAATCCTTATGCTTCGAAGAATTTGGATGTCCCTTTTCGTGGAACAATCTATTAAATGTTGGAAGAGAATTCAGAGCCTAATCCTCTGGGTCAGATTGATTGCAATAAAAGAAAAGAGAAAAAAAAAAAGAGAGAATTCTTTTCGTATTTGGAGAAAGTTTAGTTGTGACTTGGAACCTTCTGGATTGTGCCTTCCGGGGACCTTTCTGGCTAGCATTGGCAAGTGTGCCCCAGCTCATTGCTCATTCGAGGTATCCCATCGTGTGAATGTTTGAGGCTAACCCTCTAATCACTTTGGCTTTTCTTTCTTAAATCGGTTTTGGAGGTGGGTTTGTTTTTTTTTTCTTTTTTTATTTCTTGCTATTCGGTTCACTTTCCTTGCTTTTTGATTTGGGTTTTAGGCGCTTATTTCCGAAACATAAGCGTGCATATATAGTTTCGGCTATATATGAAACAATCAAGCAATACCGTAAGTTGGATGGTTCTTTTTGGGGTTTTAGGCCTTGATGATAAAGACATTCGGTGGTATAGTGAAATAATATTCCATCTTACGATTTCAGAACCCAATCCAGGGATCTGGTGAAATGTAGGATGACAATATTATTCACCGACACCAGACTAGCAGACACACTTGCTCTCTTAGGTTGTTGGTGGTCCTAGCCCGATGGTGCGATCGACTTGTGGAAAATCATATTTTATAAAAAAAATTATAATTACAGATATACCATTTACAAAAGTATTTTGACTAAAAAGATAGATATTATTTTCTCTTATACGCATGAAAGCTATATGCATGCTGAAAAATATAAATTTAAAGTAATAAAATTCGATTGTCCGTTTTTCAATTGTCGGTACTAGGCTAAGGAGTATTCTCTTAAGTTGGTATAGTAGGACACCTTTCAAGTTGAATGTCGGGCTTTGTACATACGAATGACCGATAGTTGCCTTCAGAGTCCCTCGAGAATACCTAAAGTTGAGCCTAGCCCGACCCGAATGCGTACGGTTTTATTTTTTTCTTCGGTTTTTTGTGTGTTTCCTACGATTTTATCGAAATCTTTGTAGAACACTCGTGATTTTCTTTGAATTATTCTCGTGTTTTCGACGGTTTTCTTCGAGTTACCTAGGTCATCTGCCGCTTTTTCTCGAGTTTTTCAGGAGCCGCCGACCTACTAGGTATACAAGTTTGTTTTATATTTACAGTGTTTACTTTCACTATTGCACACTTTACTGCATATACACATAGTTCATGTCTGTAGTATTACTGTTTACTATTTACTGTGTTTCGTAACATGTTCCCTTTTATAATCCTTGTTGTTTCTATAGGCTTACAAGAGATTTTTAGGTTAGAGGACAATAGGACACCTGGTTTAAGAGGTACCCCACAGCGAGCTCCTGACCCAATAACTATACATTTATACACACCACAACCCCGAACTTATAATCGATATGTTAGAGAGCTTAGAGTAGTCTTTCCAAGAAGCGGAGCGTGGAAGCAAACTGATGGGGAGCGACGATCGAGACCACGATAGCGATATCTAGGATGTCTCTTTAGAGTTAATGTCCAATCGTAGGATAGTTGGGAAGTCACCGTGGTTCTCCCCGGATCTGCGACATCCCCCACCTTTCACTTTATTGACTCCTAAAAATAACTGTTCCTCTTTTGAAACATTCCCCTTTGATTTACTCACATTTAACATTGGAAACCTAAACTTTGCAATCTTGAAGACAAAACCACCGATCTTAATCGTGAGTCTTCTTAAGTGATTTCAATCATTTAAGATATAATTAACTACAGGGGCTTGCCTTTATAGGAAATGTAAGAGATTAAGAACCCAGGTTAATATAAATCCTATTTAATCTCCCGTATTAAATAGGGGAATTTGTCGGCTTATAAAAAAAGTTTCGCGGACCAAACAAATGTCACAAATCTTTTAGTTTAGGTGTTAAGCTTACCAACAAATTGTATGCATATTTTTCGGGATAGAGTACTACTTGTGGTATCGTGCTCAACCATCTAGACTATCAAATATGTGAGGTCCATGCGGTCTCTTTTCAAAAATTAAAATATTATTTTCTAAATTATAATATTATATATATATATATATATTTAAATACAAACAATCTTCGAAATAAAATGATATTTTAAATTGAAAACATTTTCGGACTTAATTTATATGTTCGTCGCTCAAGTTCTGCAATGTTTATGTGGTTTTGTCTCATCTAATTGGCAATATGCTACTGTTCATATTTTCTGAAGGAGGGCTTCTAGAAAGCCTTTTTCTTTGCTATTTATTTTGCATTCTGCATACTCTCTAGTATAGGGATCACTGTCTGGGAACTCTGTTGTTGCTATCTACTTGTTATTTTTGAATTTTTACTTAGTCATGTTCATTTTTCCGAAGATGGATTATGTTCATATTCTATACGATCGCAGTCCCTTTTTCTCGTGCGTTTTTTCTTAAAGTTTTCTCCAGCATTCTTATTATGCTTAAAACATTTAAGTGATACTCTTTCTTGGTTTGAGCATTAGTAACCTATTTATTTTTTGTTTTGTGATATAAAAGTTAAAACCGATTTATATTTTTTTAATGTAAATATGTATATCGATCGGTTAATTTATGAATGTGTGTTCATGGTTCAGCTTTTGTTTTGTACCAGAGTTCTAATTTCTATTGCGAACATGCCTACGAGAAATTCAATAATGCTTCTGTTTTATTATACTATCATTCAAGTATTCAGGAATTTGTTTGTTTCTGTGCATGTATGATGGTCGGTCTTATTTTATAAATATTTCTCAGCTCTCCCTGAATCTGAATGTCTAAATGATAATATTAGCATTATGCTGCTATAAGTATTTTTCCTGATTTTCGGTCCTGGACTACTAAGCATTATCTTTTGTGCTACCTTACCTGGCTCATTTATTTCATTTTTTTTACATTTTTATTTTTATTAATCTGTCAATCTTGAAAATGAAATATTGCCAATTTATGATAAATTCTGTTGTTAATTATTATTTTCTTATTTGTGAATGCAAAATTCTCAGTTCTCATTGGTACCCGTGGGAAAAGTTTGACTTGGGTGGCGTCTGCTGTAAGTAGCTCGAAATATTAAATTTAAATGGCTGGATATGTACTGGGAGATTCTTCACACCATGGAGCAGTAAAAAATGGACCAGAGAATAGTATTAAGGAGGAATCTGAAGATTATCTAGCCAGATGGTATTTTTCCAGGAAGGAAATTGAAGAAAACTCTCCATCAAGGAGAGATGGCATTGATCTGAAGAAAGAGGCATATTTTCGGAAATCATATTGCACTTATTTGCAAGATCTGGGCATGAGACTTAAAGTGTAAGTATAATTATTTTATTAAATCCATTTTTGTTATTGTGTGGTCTAATGTTCTCTCCTTCCTTCCACATGTGACATCATCGTCATCATCCTTGCTCTATCCATCCCTACAAAGTCTTCTCTCAACTTATTAAAAGTTCTTTTCCATTCTTTTTTTTTTATCTGAAGCTATACTTCTTATCTTGGGCAAGTATTTTTGTATACACAATTTGAAGAACATTGTTTGTTGTGAAATTATCTTTTGGATATATTGTTGTCGGTCAACTTTTTTTTTTTT